CCCGGCCCAGTCCCCGCGCGCGTAGGCCGCGGTCCCCTCCGCGAAGAGCAGATCAGGAGCCGCCATGTCCCACCCCGCCTCGGAGTCGACCTCGGCCCGCGAGATAGCGGCGGCGACCGCCAGCAGCGTGGTCAGCAGCCTCAACGCGCGTGCCGCCATTGCCTCCTCAGACCTAACGGGACCGCTGGTCACCGGCCACGGAGGCCGGAGTCCCACCCCCGGGAGGCCCCGCCCCCGACCGAAGCCCCGCCCCCAAGTGCTGACCCGGCTCCCAAGCTTGGCAACGCAAGCCCAGGAGGCTTGCACCGCCTCTTCTGCCTCCCTTCAGGCTGGACTCCGCCCCTCCGCGGAAACCTGCGCATCAGCAGGAGCCCCGCCTCCGAGCTCCAGGCAGCTCCGACGCCCAATGGCCAGGGAACACGGAAGCTCCGCCCACGGGCCTTTATGCGCATGCTCTGCCGCCTCGGGGTAGTAGGGAGGACACGACGCTATCATGGAAGACGCTGCGACGCCTGGGCTGACCGAAGGAGTCACAGAAAACCGAGTTCAGTTGGCTGCAGGTCGGGGAGGTAGGCGGGGCGGGAGTCAGGAGGGGAGAAGAAGCCCTCCTGGAGCAGCTAGTCTGCCGGGCTCGGCGGGAGGCCGAGGGCGGGCGCTCACGGCCTGTGTTCCTGGGTATGTGTCGCAGGAGCCCTGGTGGAGCTCACGCCAACCCCCGGCGGCCTGGCCCTGGTGAGCCCCTACCACACCCACCGGGCCGGGGACCCCTTAGACCTCGTGGCGCTCGCAGAGCAGGTGCAGAAGGTGAGGAGGCGCGGCGGGGGAAGTAAAGACCGTCTTCCGTGCACGTTTGGTCGTGCGTCTTAGGGCTCAGCCCTTCCAGCCGCTTAGTGTGGGGTAGCATCTGTTCTTGTCTCCATTTTACACGCGGGGAGAACTGATGGTCACTGCGAGTCGGTGGCCTGACTCGAACTCTGATCTGAGAATAAACACTCCTTCAGCTGCAACTTGACTGCCCATAATCTCCCTTCGTGGGAAGGTTTGCGCGGCACTATCAATATTCATGATTTCATTTGGGCCTTAGGACAGCCCTGTGAGGTGGGCAGTAGTTATTCTTCCTATCTGACACGTGAAGAGAAGTGAGAAGTTTCCAGGGAAGTTTCGAGATCACTGTAACGCTGTTCTGCAGGGATGCACAGTCCACTTCAAACTGCTTCCATACCTGTGACCTGAGGGATTGTAGAACTTAACATCTTAAGGGCAAGGACTGTAGGTTTTGTCCTCTGTCCTCATTCTCTGGACACCGTATTCCCAAGCCCAGCGCTTAGACACTGACTGCCAAAAGAAGTAAAATAAGACTGAAATGTGAAATAAGAGAAAAAACACTGGGAATCTGGACACCTGAGTTTTAATCCCAGTTTTTTTTAACATTTTTTTATTGATTTATAATCATTTTACAATTAATCCCAGTTTTGATACTAACTTACACTGTGACTTGAGGTAAATTACGTTTCTCTGGACCTCAGCGTCTTTATCTGTAAAATCCAGGGTTTGAACTAGGAGAGCTCCTAGATCTAAAGTTCTTGAAAAACCAAATTTCATCTAACCTTTCTTACCAGGACTTCCAGTTGTACAACCCTCTTCAGTATGTACAGATACAGAGCCTTGGCTGCTTCAAAGCATATGATATTCCCTCATCCTTGTATACGCTATCACATTTGGCCTTGTTTGTGTTAAAGGCCTTCGTTTTGCTCAAAAATATTTAATAATGAATGTGCTTAAGTTCTGTTACATATACATCTCTGTGCTTAAGTTTTTTTAAAAATTAAGAAATACTCAAATACTTAGGAAGTCTTTGATTAAACTTGTTCTTTCTCTTTTCTAGAGAGGTAGGAAGCCAAGTATAACTATGGGTTAGGAGAACATTATGTGTCTGTTTAATCAGATCACTTATTGGGAGTGAGGCTCCCAGGGTCAGATCTTTGGCACACATTTTCATTGGGTTACCGAGTGACCATTATGTTTATTACAGTGGCCTAAAACAAAGAAAGAAGTAACACGATTTTTGTCCTTCAGCCTATAATCAATCTAGTGAAATATAGAGGATGCATTGTTGTGCTGCCTTCATGCTTCCAATATTAGTCTTTGAGAAACTGATGGAAAAACACTCTGGAGACAAACAAATTGGATGAAGCATATTTACTGCCTGTGTACTGAAACGTACTTTCTAGCAGGACTGATTTCTTACCTGCCGTTTGACATTAACGTGTGTTCAGAAAGCTTGGGAGCCCTGGGATTAAGGCATGAAATTTAGAACCAGCCTGATCTGTGTTGAAATCTTCAGCTGCCATTTATGAGCTATGAAACCTTGGACAGGTTGCTTCACCTGTCTGAGTCTAATTCCTAAAATGAGAAAGTGAAGATACCTTCATAAGGTGTTACAAGGGTTAAATGAGGTAGTAAATGAGTAAAAGACCTCAGAGTTATTAAGGCCAGAGTTTGTGCTTGGTAATTATAGGTACTCTTTCCCTCATTTCTGTTTTAATTAGCCTCTTTTGTTTACAAGGAACAGATTTGTTGCCACCTTAAGAAAAAGGAGATATATTGTAAGGCCGCTTCTAACCCAGAACTGTCTTAGCCCTAGGAACCACCTCACTCTCTCATGGCCGCATTGTCCTTGGAACAGAAGGCAAATTCTTATATCAGGAGCCATAAAGCCTTGCATGATCTTGTGTCTGCCCTCTTTTTCACATCTCCCCTCAGTAACTACCCTTGAGCTGCACTGGCTTCAGAAATGCCTGGAAGCTGCTTCTTCAGTATTTTGCATGGCTGGCCCTTTCATTCAGACTCAAGTCAAATGTCACATCCTTGATGAGGCTTTTTTGACTCTAGAGGGTTATACCCCACCTCATCCAAATGACAGTATTATTCAGTTAAATTTGAATGCCTGCAGACTACACATGCATTCTAATTCCTGCAGTCCTTACCACTCCCTCTTACTAAACCAGTTGCTTCATTCATTTGTTATATTTGATCTACTTCTACCACATATTGTGGTTATTTCCTTCATAATAACATCATAATTCCAAGTACATACAACACTAACTTTAATGATTTTTCTTTTTGGTGTCTGTATTTGTTATTCACCAGAGCTGTGCTATGCAGTGCAGTATGGTAGCCACTAGCTACATGTGGCTTTTGAGCCTTGGAATATATGGTTAGTGAAACTGAGAAACTGAATTTTAAATTTTATGTGATTTCAAGTAATTAAAACTTTAAAACCTGGTAATTGATTCAATTTTTGGAAACAAGTATATTTGGAACAACTTCCGTATGTGAATCTACTCTTTGAACTGTAAATTTTAAGAAGTCTAACTACAGATCAGCTTTTTCCAATGAAAACTTGGCATCTAAATTGATTTGTGATGTGAATATAAAATACACATTTAATATGAAATGTAAAATGTCTCATTAACAATTTTTATATTGATTACATGTTGAGGTGAGACTGTCTTGATATATTGAGTTAAATATATCATTGTAATTAATTTTACTTATTTTTACTTTCACCACAGCTAGAAAATTTAAAATTACATATGTGACTTGCTTCATATTCTAGAAGATAGTTGCATTAGACTATAATCTTAAGGCAGGGACCTCTTTCTCATGTTTGCCAGTGTGTCCAGTGCCTGGCATGGTGTCTGACACACAGTAGTTGTTAAGTATATATTTGAACAGATAGATGATTCACTCAACCTACTTAGTTGTTTCTGTTCACTCATAACACAGGTTTATACCTGACCTTTATGTTAAGCTTCCTCAGCCAACTGGCAAGTTCTCTTAATATTTCTTAGTTCAACTTTAACCTCTCAATTTGTTTTTCTTCACTTGTGTACCACTGGAAGTTAATCAGCTTTTCATGAAAGTAATCTGATGCCTGAGTGATAACTCTTCCCAATACATGAATTGGTCACACCAGTCTCTCCTAGCTTTGAAAGTTAGTTGATTTATTTTAAGTGACTTCCGGTGCCTTCAGTTGAATTTCCTAGCACATGATAGGCAGTCTTCTGTGTACATAATAATTGTTTCAGGTCTACATTATGGTGCAATTTTTAAAAATACACTTTAAATAACAATTAGGAGTGCAAGTACAAGTTAAAATATAATTAAGTGTGATGTAAATTCAACTGAGATAGTGGTCAGGCTAACAGATACTTTCTCTATACAGCTAGATACCTGTACAGCAGATGGTAAGAGGCATACCACAGGTGTCTTTGGATTTTCATTGTAAGACGCATCCCTGATTTCAGAAATGTTTAAACATGGAAAATAATGGCAGCTTGAGGAATAAGTGGAGTTAGGCAGAAGAGAAGTAGGGGAAACGTGTTAGGTACAGGAGATGGCATGTTCAGTATCATTTGCAAGCAAGAGAGAGCAGGGCATGTTGGAGAACTGGAAAATTTGAGTGTGACTAGAATCTAGAGTGAAAACAGTAGAAGCTTTGGGAAGTAGAAAAGAAGGAGCACTTCATTCTGTGGTATGGGGCCATGTCAGCGTTGGAGCTTGGCCTGGGGATGAGTGGGCATTCACGGGGGAATGGTGAGAATGGGAAGACTATTTGAGACATAAGCAAAGATGTGGACGTAACTTCACTTTGGGATCTAAATAAGAGCGTCCTAGAAATCTTATCCTTTTTCGACCCACAGTTCGTTTTTTTCTCACTCTTAGGCTGATGAGTTCATCCGAGCAAATGCCACCAACAAGCTGACAGTCATAGCCGAGCAAATCGAACATTTGCAAGAACAAGCCAGGAAGGTAAGAGATGGCTTTAGGTCGGCTTTTATTTCTTCATTTAGTCCACAGGATAGACTGAACTTGCTTATAAATCATTGTAACTTACTTGTTTTCAGTACCTCCTAGGAATATAGAAATGCTGAGTGAAAGGGCATAAGCCCAAGAGGTTAAGTATAAGTTTTTCACTGAGAGAAAGCTCAGTAAGGCAAAGCATTTTAAGGGAAAAAATATGTTTTGGTTATAAAAGAAATGTACTTACTACAAAAAAATTGGAAAGAAATTTAAAAACCACTCAAAGCCAATAATGCTCAACATTTTGAAATATTTTTCTAAAGGCATTTTTACAGCACAGTAGCATAACCCAGTCTAACTTTTGTCTCCTCAGTATCATCTGGATCTCAGTAGTGATTCATTGCTATTGGGGAGCGGGATCCTAAGCACTGAGCAGATTGCAGATGTTGAGTGGGATGATCATTGACTATGAGCCTGTTACCTCTGATACCTAATTTGTTACATCTCTGTGGCTCTTAGGTATTGGAAGATGCTCGCAGAGATGCTGACTTGCACCATGTGGCTTGTAATATAGTGAAAAAACCTGGCAACATTTACTACCTTTATAAACGGGAGAGTGGTCAGCAGTATTTTTCCATTATTTCTCCAAAGGTAAGAACATTTATTTTTTGCACAAAAATCTACTCTAGTCTTTGAGAAATTCTTGGTGTGTGTGTGTGGGGGGGGGGGGAGGAGAGACAATGTAGGCATAGCAGTTGGTAAATGGTTTCCTAGAAAATTGGAGGTGGCGTGAGCTCAGACATGGCTCTAAAAGATACACAAGTGCTTAAATTATTTCACAGTCATTACCTCTGTTAAGGGAGGTATCTGGCATGTAATGTAATGCTTTCCAAGAATGATTCTGACCGGTCTGAAATGAAAAACCAAAAGAGAAATTTGAGACATAATTAGGAAATGCACTCAGTTTCTTTACACCTTGATCAGAACTGACTTCTTTGCCTTCTCTAGGAATGGGGGACAAGCTGTCCACATGACTTCCTTGGTGCCTACAAGCTACAGCATGACTTGTCCTGGACTCCGTATGAGGACATTGAGAAGCAAGATGCTAAAATCAGCATTGTGAACAAGTTGCTAAGCCAGCCAGTGGCTCTGCCTTCAAGCACTGAACCCAGCTTCCAGGGGTTCAATTCCACTGAGAGTGGACTCTGACAAACACTGTCACGACAAGGACCAGTCACCTCCTTGTTGCTCCAGTCTCTGCCTTGATGGGAAGTGGCATGTAGGTGAATCATGAACTTCTTGGAAGGCAATCCTCTGTGAATGTAAATGCTGTCGTTACTACTTTTAGTTGGGATGATGAAGAATCATATCAGTCTTTTTGGGGATCCTTTCTTGGTCACAGATATGAAACCAGTCAGTTGCATAGCACTGGCCGGTGTACTTTCTTTCTTCATTATCTCCATCTGTTCTCCCATAAGTCACACTATTAGAGAAAGAAGAGTTTCTTCTTTCCACAAAAAGGTTAGCGAGTCATTTCCCAGAGAGGACTGTTGTTAGCCTTTTTGTAACTGAAAGTGTTTAAAATTAGGGTTGAGGCTATTTAACAGTTGGTATAACCCCAGCTTCAAATTCATCTGGGAACCAGAATATTGGGTGCTGGAGGATGATAAACAACTTGGCTTGGCTAGTGAGAGAGGGTGTGTGATTCTGGTATTTCTGCACTGTTGATGAGGTTTGGCTTGCCCCATTCTGCTCTGTCGAGCTAGGATGCCTGGAGAAACTGAGGCAGCAGCAATGGCCAGGTTTTGGGTTTTGGTCAGGTTCAGCCTCTAAACTCACAGAATTTTAGACTTGGAAGAGATGTTGGAGGCTGCTGCTAACCATGGTATGAATCCACTCTCTAGCCTCACCGAGCTGGAGATCCAGAGATCAGCCATCTGCAGCGCGAAAATCCACTAAATGGCAACTTCAGAATATTATGGAAGAGAAAATAGTGCAGCGGGTGAGAAACAAGAAAAACAGCCAGCCTGTTGATTAGGAGTTAACTCAGATTAAAACTCATTTTGACCTGGATTATTAAGGAACTTAGAGGCTCTTTGGCTGAGTTTTTTATGCTGATTCTGACTGAGCTCTTGTGGGATTCTACCTCACTACTTGTCTGTTCAGTGGAATTACCTAATTGACCATGTATCCAGCATTGCTTTACTTCCCCTCAGTGCCATATAATCTATCACAACATGCGGTAAAAGGAGAGATGTGTGCTCGAAACCACGACTGCTCAGGTTCCTTTCTGGGGATGAATGTCTCTTGTGCTGGTCTGCTTGGTAATACCACAACCTCATCCTGGTGTTCATGGCCTTTCCTTACAAGCTGCATTCCTCGTGAGCTGTAAGTGGTTGGCCAGGGCCAAGCACAGGTGGGGCTGGATCCTGACAAGGTCACACAGATGGTACTTGGTCGCTCAGTTCACAGGGTGAGATGCTCCAGGGAATGGGACACACACACACTAGTACAGTAGTTGACTCTAACTATGGAAAGCTTCCCAGGTTTTCAGAAAGTTCTCACTTGCATGGTAATAGCCCATTTTGAGTAGGTGTTTTATTATCTATTGCTGTATAAATTACCACAAACTTAGTGGCCTAAAACAGTACCCATTTATTATTTCATAATTTCTGTGGGTCAGAAGTTCAGGTACTGGGTCCTCTGCTTCAGGGTTTCTTAGAAGGCTGCTGTCGAATTACTTGCCAGGCCTGTGCCCTCATCTGAAGGGAGGGAATGACCAAAGAGCTTGAATACCAGAAGGCAGAAACCGTTGAATCTTAGAACCTGTCTCCCATAGTGCTCAGTTGAGAGGGAGAAAGGAAAAGTTGTGGGTAAAAGAGGCAAAATTACAGTGGTTAAGTTGGTGGTGTTGGAGTCACAGATTTGGATGTGGCTCTCTGCTCGGACAAAATATCCTCCCCGCTGTTGTCCCTGCTTCCTCCTCTGTTCCTGTCTCCAGTCCATTCTGCATAAAGTCATCAGCTTGATCTTTTGAAAATGCAAACCCACCTCACTCTTTTTTTTTTAACTTTGTTACAAAGAATATTGCATTTTAAATTGTTGTGAATGCTGCTACAAATCCACCTTACCCTTGACAGTTCCTAGGCACTGGAGCAGAAATAAGCAGTGATTCAAAAGCAAACTTTCAGAGCGGTGGATGTAGCTCAGTGGTAGAGCACATGCTTAGCATGACCAAGGTCCTGGGTTCAAGTTCCAGTACATCCACTTAAAAACAACAAGAACCAAAAAAAACCAAAAAACTAAATTAAAAACTTTTTGTTCTGTAAGGTGTGCTCCCTACACTGACCACCAGGTGGTGCCATTGTACTTTCCTGGTTAAGCCAATTCCCAAACTTAGGGAAAGTGAGTGGCATTGTGAAGTGATTTTGGAGGTAGCATCTCAGAATGGGGGACTAGGACCCAGTGGTTATGTACAGTAACCATTTTTCATTTACCTGTCCATCTATCCATCCAGTTATTAAAGAAGTGCCTTCTGGGTTGCAGATTTTTGAGAATAACACAGCTAAATAAGACAGGTCCCTATTTCCAAGAAGCTCACTGTCTAGTGGAGGGGAAAGCAAGTCAGTCATTACAACATGGTATAAGAAGGGCTGTGATAGAGGTATGCGTGGGATATCATGGGCCACCGGGGAGGGGTACCTAACTCAGCTTTGAGAATTTGAGAAGAGGAGGAGCTGACACCTGCTTGGTGTTGAAAACAAAAAAGCCTGTTTGGAGGCTTCAGTTTTCTGCTCTGTAGTATAGTTGTCTCTGAGGGTGGGGGTAGGGTCCATTTTGGGATGGAGTTTTATTGTGAATGAACAAAAAGGGATATCCACTGAAGTCGTATCAACCAGAGTAATCCTGCCAGTCAGGAGGGGTGGAGTGAGATATGTACTAGCTAGAACACTCTTCCAACGGCTAGGAGATAGGTAGGTGATGAATAGGATCAATTCTAGACAAAAAAAAAAACATGTGAGGAACATTGACAAGATATAATTTGACATTTGGGATATTGCAGCCAGTTTAAAGTGAAGAATATGGGCCAGGGGATATGAGAGAAGAGCCAGTTGAAGGATTGGGAGTAGGGAGTTGGTAAAATTGGCCTTTTAGAAACCTCATTTTGGCAGTAGAGGATGAGTGGAGGGAAAATCATCAGGGGCCTACATCCTAGTCTAGGCAAGAGACGAGGGAGGTCTGAACTAAGATGGTGCTGGAATGAGAGTTGACACATTTCCTCAGTTGTAAGATGTACTTTTCTTCCCTCACATTTTAATGTCTGAGACCTAGATGCTTCTGGAAGTCAGGAGGATCTCGTCATTTGAAGTGGCAGCATTTTTTCTTTCAGCTACATAAAACAGTGGTGGGTCTTAGCAATGGGTAGCATCTTAGGCTTGATGAAGTACGGCATTTTGAAAGTACAGTGGATTGCCATCTTGTTAACTAATACAGTGTAGCAGGATGAGTGGAAGGAAAGAATCTTGGATAATGCTTATATTTCTGGCTTGAGTGTGTGGATGGTAGGGATCCACCCAACAAAACATGGAAGAGGAAGACATCCCTGATATTTCCCAGAATAATTAGCCGTCTGTATTTGCTTCAATAATCCACTGCACTGGCCCTGCCCAGGTTCCACCAGGTTTACAGGGTATGAGTATCGGCTAACTGTACCTCCTTTCTCTACCTTAGGGTTCTAGAAGTGGGGGGAAGAAAGCATGCTATGTCCTTACCTTTTCAAGGTATCATTAATCTACAAGCGTTGAGAATATTGGTGTTGCAGATACAAAGATGATGCATACTGCGTAGTGAGCTTTTATTCTGCCAGGCATACCCGTTACCTGATTTAATCTTTATATAATCCACCATCTATGAGGTATTATGTAGCATTCCTGTTTTACAGAGCTAGAGCATCTCAGAGATTAAGCAGGCGGCCCAAAGTTAAACAGAGTGGTAGAGGTCAAGTTCAGACATTCCTATTTGATTCCGTCTGACCATAGCCGTAACAATAACCTGCTTTGGTCGATTAGGACAAAATAGGGCCTCTCCATAGAAGTGTGAAGAAGTTAAAATTCAAAGCGATAGAGTAACACGTGCATATGGGATGCTGTAGGAGCCGTGCACAAGAGCATTTAGTGCTGAGCCTGCAGAGGATATGTATCAAGGTCCTGAGAAGTCACCTAAGGTCACACAACTTACAAGCAATGGAGCCCACACCTCTGGCACTAAAGCCCATGTGCAGCGCCCCCGCCCCCACCCCGCCACACACACATATGCAAGATAGGGCTCATTCCCTTACGGAGCCAGAGCTTGAGAGGAAGGAGCTACTAAAGTGCCTGGAGTAGTTAGATTTCTGTAGTCCAAAACAACGTTTGGTTCACTGGGCCACTCAACTACTTGAAAGTTTTTTTCTTCATTTTGATTTGGAATATAACCATCCTGCTATTCTCCTACTTCTTTGACTGCATCTTTTCTGTCTCCTGACACTTGCATCTTGGACTGCTCTGGAGTCACGTCCTTGGCCGAGTTTTCTTTCTCTCCTCGGTGATCTAATCATTTCCCATGGCTTTAAATGCCACTCAAATGCTGCTGAGTCACATGTGTCTCCAGCCCTGATGTCTCCCTGAGTTTCATGCAGACTTCATTTATCCAGCAGCCCAACTTGATGTAAATTACAAACCTAATGTGTCAAAAATGAGTCTTGAGTTATACCCCAAATCTGTTTGATCACCAGTCCTCTGTTTCCATCAGTACTTATGTACACACTGCTGCTGAGGCCAAAAACCTAAGTCATCCTGATTCTATTTGTTCTTCCCATACCAATCAGCAAGTCTTCTCAGCTCTGTCTTCAAAATACATCCTAAATCTGACTGCTGCTCACCGCCTGTGCCCCTCTCTCCCTCCTTAGTCCAACATCTCTAGTCTGGACTAATGCAGTAGCCTCCTAACTTGCCTCCCTGCCTCCATTCTCATCCTTCTTCAGTCTGTTTCCGTAGAAACTGCATCATCTTTTAAAACTATAAGTCAGGTTATAACACTTCTATAAAAGTGACCCCCAAATTTCTCATTATACTTGAAGTCCAAACTCCTGCCAGGGTTCCATGTGAGAACGTGAGCACATTCTCAGAGCTCACCATGTTCCCACTGA